TTTTCCTTACAGCTTCCTTGGCCTGGAATTTCCTTTCCATTAGAGAATCCTGCGTTGGAGGCCCCTCCTATCCCAATCAAAAGGGGAAATAATGCTACTCCTGGCCATCCGTCCATTAAAGATGGAAGAGGAGAGCAAAAAAAATTCCCGCATTCCTTGTAACATAGAGATAGGAAACCGATATCGGCACTTCTCACTACCCAGTGTCTAAGCCTTAAGTGTCTTATTTCTGCTGTCGCGTTCACTGGGGTTTCTGTGTCAGTAGCTGCCGGTCAGTTAATTCTCACACTTTGAATTACTTCCTGAAGTAGGAGCCAAGGTGTGTGATGTTGTTGTGAGGCTATTCTTGGGGAGACATGAACAAATATTTACTCAGCCCAAATAGGGAACCAACAACAGACCAAAGTAACGCATCAAAGTGCACTTTGGTGAGCCAATGGGTTGACTAGGATCACTTACAAGAATGTGAACCAGCGGTTACTTACAGAAGCGTGGACCACTTGAAGGCAGCTGCTTCTCTGAAAGCCACCGCAGCGCGAGGTGCAAACTTCAGGACCACGGTTCAGATACCAGTTCTCACCTAAAACAGCCCAGGGCCCCGTAGTGGGTCTATAATCCCAGCACTGGGACAGGGGAGGCAGGCGGGTCCCCCGGGCTTGCTGTTCTAGCCGGAATGGTGAGCTTTAGGTTGAGTGAGATAGAGGATGGCTGAAGAGGGAGGACACCGGAAGTGTCTGCCCGGCACCCATACAGGAGTTAGGTGGGGGAGGGGAGAGGGGAAGGGAGAGAGAAAGAGAGAGAGGAGGGAGAGGAAGGGGGAGGGAGAAAGGGAGGGACGGAGGAGAAGAAATGATGATTATGTGACCATTATGGAGGCAAGAAGTTCCACTGAGCTAAAATCAAAGCAGGTCCGACAGGACTGTGGTCCTTTATGGAACTCTATGGAGAATCTGTTTCCACTCTTCAGCTTCCGGAAGCCTCTCACATTTCCTGACTCCAGTGTCTCTTCCTCCACCTTTAGAGCCACCAGCTGCACCGAGTCCTCCTGGCATTTCTGACTTTCTTCTTGGGTCTCATCTCTGTCCCTGACCACAGCCTGGGAGCTTCTCAGGCCTGCCGGGATTGGGGGGAGTATAATAGCCCCTCAAGGTTTGGACCCCCAATCCAGTGTTTGTACCCTAAGGCCTTTCCCCACTTCCTAAAACCTGAAAGTTCTTAACTACGAAGCCATTGCCTTCAGCAAGATTCTTTCAGCTCTCTTTGCCTTCTGCTTGTCCAGAGTGCCTGTCTCTATGGCAACAGAGGACGCAGGAAGCAGGATTGCAACACTTGGGTGGTGTTCAGCGCCTGCACCCGGCAGGGTGGCCAGGATTTCAAAGGTCCCCAAGAGGACACTGCCCTCCCCACTCCATCCCCACTCCAGAACCTGCTCTGTACTCCCCCACACCCAGGGTAACTGGGATTCTCCAATGCTTCCTCAGGCTCTGTTTGGCAGGGCCTCAGACTGTGTCCTGTTTCTCCAGTGAGATGCAATGGCAGAGGGGGAGCTGCCTTCAGAGAAGATGATAAAGCCTGGCCTCACAGGTAAGAAAACTCTGTAAGAGTTCACCCATGGTTTATTGTGACTGACTTTGGATCACCCAGGCCCCAATTTTGTAATTTATTTAAAAACACCGCGAAGAAAAGTCACGCCATGCAACAAAGCTCAAGTTGGGCTTATTGGAAAAGGAGAGAGACAAGGCAGGGAATGGGGCAGAGAGGGGGGCTGAGATCAGTCCCTGGGGACAAGAGTGGCAGAAAGGAAAGAGAGGAGGGCAGGCCAGTACAGACACCTGAGTACCAACACCAACTGTGTGCAGAAAGGACCTCAAAAACTGCTGTGGTAAAATATTATCTTGGGCCAGCCAGATGGCTCTGCACCATTTGACATTATAGCTGAACAACCCACCTGAACTGAATCTCCAGAACCCACCAGAACGAATCATGAAAGCAGGGAATGGATTCCATAGAGTTGCTGTCTGACCTCTACACAGGCATAGTGTCTCTCTGGTTCTCTCTGTCTCTGTCTCTTTTTCTCTCCTCTCTTCCTTCCTCCTTTTTTCCCTCCTCCCTTTCCCTTCTCATTCAATAATTTTAAATATTTTTGTTAATTCTTTGAGAATTTCCTGTAATGTTTTCTTCATACTCACCCCTCCCAACTCCTAGGGCTCCACCCTCACCTCCCCACCACCCAGTTCTGCGTTGTCTTCCTCTTCTTTCCGCATGAGTCTAGTGTGTGTTGCCCAGCTCCTCTCAGGACTGGGAGTTGCCATGGTGTGTGGGAGACCTAAGGTGGGTTCCCCCTCTCCCAGCAGCAGTGAAATGCCAGGAGCTCCTCAACTAGCGGTGGAATTTCGAGTGTACCTCCCCTCCCTTTCCACGCTGAGATTTTGCCTGGCTTGGGTTTGCAAAAATCTTATGCACATTGTCACACTGCTGTGAACTCATCCGTGTGTCTGCTGTGGACAGCAAGATTTCGTTGAAGGCATCCAGCACCCCTGGCTCCTAGAACCTGTATGGCCCTTCTTTGGAGAAGTTCCCTGACCTTTGGGGAAGAGTGTGATCTTCATAACCCATTTAGAGATGAGCATTCCAGCCTCTTATCAGTCACGCTTTCACCAGGTAAAGGTCTTTGTGTTCAGAGTCTTCTGCTTCAGGAATCTCTGAAGGATTGGACAGGGCAATGGTAGCAATGGTGGGAGTTACCAACTACTTTCTGATTGGATCTATTTATATATCTTTAGGGACAAGTGCTCTGTCTGCACGGATGCCTGCAGGCCAGAAGAGAGCTTCAGACCCTATAATAGACGGTTGTGAGTCACCATGTAGTTGCTGGGAATTGAACTCAGGACCTCTGGAAGAGCAGCCAGTGCTCTTAACCTCTGCACCATCTCTCCAGCCCCCTCTGTTTGGATCTAATGGTCTCTCCATGAGGTGGAACTTATACCTGACATTGCTAAGGGAACTAAGAATGTATAGCTAGATAGGTTATAGGTCCTAGAGGAGAAGCATAATACTATCATTCTCCTGCTGATCTTCACTCTGGAAATGAGACTGCAGACATAGGCTGAGGGATAGGAGTCAGGGCAGCATTGCCCAAGGGAACTCAGGAGAATCTCAGCTACCCTGGAGCAGGGGAAACATAGAACAGGTCCTGTGGGTTGTGGAGTGAGGGGGGCAGTGTCCTGGTGATATCTTTGCTGGAGCCTTTGAATACACAAATCTGTGGGTATAGTAGTAAGTCATTAGGAGTCATCTTAAAGATATGTATTCTCCCCTAGGATCTATAACCTGTCTGTCTATATAGTCTTAGTCCCATAAACAAAGTCAAGTATAAGTTCCACCTCATAAATTGGACATTAGATCCAAGCAAAAATAGTTGGTAACTCCCGTAACATTCACGCCACTATTGCACCAGTCAGCAATATCTTGTCAGGCCAACCATTTAAATAAAATATCAAAAGGAAAATTGAAAAACCTACTTGTTGGCCTCAATCGAAGACATTTGTCACCAAGTTTGGAGAATTGTTTTTAATTCTCAAACCCACATGACAAAAACAGAGAACTGACCACTGTAAACTGTCCTCTGACCTCCACACCCTCACTGTGGCACACTGGAACTCACACTTACACCATGGCCAGCATCACCACGGGCAAGACAGGGACCTGGACAAGAGGGCCATTCTACACAGGGCTCTGGGTTTACTTCAGGAATAAAGAGTTGGTTTTTTTCATTCCCTTTGCTGTTTATATAACATTTAGCAAGCACGACTTGAGCAGAAAGCCTTTAGGACTCTTTGCTGTTCTTGCGGCCTCAGTTGCATCAGAGGACGACCCTCCTTAGACATTACCTCATCCTGCAGCGTTCCTCGGGTAGCTGTATCTTGATCAGGTTTTGTGCCTGAGAAAGGAATTGCAGAACTTCTGGATGAACGGACACAATATATAATTTTTAAAAGCACTAAGTTTCTTCATGGAGAACATTTTCAGAGTCTGGGCATGTGTTGTTTGTCCTTCAGTAAATACTGAGCAGCAGCTGGTAAAAAATACTCCCTAGAATAAACAATCCTGCAAACTTTCTAGTGGACATCAGTCTGGGCTACTGAAACAAAACACAAGTGTAGACTGGCTGCTTTAAAGAATAGAAGTCCAGGCTGCAATGGTGCACACCTTTAGTCCCAGCACTTGGGAGGCAGAGGCAGGCAGATCTCTGTGAGGCCAGCCTGACCTACAGAGCAAGTTCCAGGATAGCTAGGACTGTTATATAGAGAAACCCTGTCAAGAAGAAGAAAAAGAGAAGGAAGAGGAAGAGGAGGAGGAGGAGAGGAGGAGAAGTGGGAGCTGAGGCAGAGGCAGGCAGATCTCTGTGAGTTTGAGGCTAGCCTGGTCTACAGAGCGAGTTCCAGAACAGCCAGGGCTACACAAAGAACCCCTATCTTGATAAACAAGCAACAAAAACAGAAGAAGAAAAGGAGAAAAATGAAAGAAAGAGAGAAAGGAAGGAAGGAAGGAAGGAAGGAAAGAAGGAAGGAAGGAAGGAAAGATCCCCACTGGGGAGGTTGAGGCAGGCAGCTGGAGCTCCTGATTGAGCTTTCTCGCCACAGATGAGCTCCCCATGGCTGAACTTTACTTCCCTGTCCCAAAAGGAATTTTTGTATTATGAGATAAACAATAGTCATGGTTGTTGGAAATGGTGAATTTCTAGCTGTCCTCAAAGTCATGTGTTTTCAGTCGTGGACTGTTGTACTGTCCTTCTCCATCCTTGTCAGAGTTAGAGGATCCAGCCCACCCCTAGGCAGGGGTCTTGGAGGTCACCTGACGTAAACGGGCTTAGCTGTGAAGGGAGGCGGCCTTGCAGAACCATCTTCACAGTGAACTTAAATGGCATATGACAATTTAGCAATATAATGTGCATTCTAAATGCCTGGGTTTTTTTCAGTATTGAATCCAGGGCCTCATGACACTAGACACACACTTTACAGCTAAACTATATTCCCAGCTCAAAGTCCACATTCCGAACCATGTCAGTATGTACACAGGAGCTGAATCAGTAAAGAGAACTATGCTGCTTTAAAGCCAGTGTATCTGCAGTCATAGGTACTGAATAGTACCGTGAATTAATAGTATCGCCCTCCTCATAACTGAGTCCATGGGCGCTGCACTCAGTCTAAAGTAAGAAACAAAAATATGTACCTATGACTATGGAAATTGGAGATTGAACGGCTCTGTAGTGACTCTAACTCCACTCACTAGGGCCACTTAGGATAAACGAAGTCTTTAAGATTCTTGGAGAAGAGCGCACAACAGTGTTTTCTGGATTTCAAGGGTGAGGCACGAGTTCAGCTGAAGTTATTGTTTTCAGAAGCCAAGTAGAATCGCACGCTGTAAAAAACAATGCCAAGAGCAAAGAAAAGAAAAGAAAAATCCCCAGGGGCTCCCCCGTCGGTGGTTCCCATTCTTCAGAAGTTCCTGAAGACATATCAGAAGCACTGCGCGCAGTCTCGGACGTCCTTGTGTCCCACCATCCAAAGGGACCTGAAGAACAGCATTGACAGAGAGCAGATCCTCAGGAAGGTGAGTGGGGGATCGGTCCCTGGGGTTCAGTCCAAAGCTGACGCTCCACCAACTCAGCACTGCCCGGCTGAGTGACATACACAGCTTTGCTCACTGGAGACCAAGGGCCTGGCCACTCTTCTGCCCCCTCCCCAAACCACGCACCTGCCCCTCTTTGACTACCAGAATGTGTTTGTGGGGGGATTCGTGAGTTCCACTTTAAGCCCCCCTCTTTCTGGGCTCTGGCCTTCCTGAGGTGTAACCTTGGTCCCTCTATCCTCTCTGCCAACCTTGTCGGCCCTCTGGGTTTTTTCTAGTACCTTCTTTTTTCAGCCCCTGTTCCAGTGAGGGGCTTCCTACAACCATTCTTTTAAAAATTCATGTGTATCACTGGGAGGTGGTGGCACAGACTAATCCCAGCACTCGGCAGGCAGAGGCAGGCAGATCTCTCTGAGTTCGAGGCCACCCTGGTCTACAACAGCTAGTTCCAGGACAGGCTCCAAAGCTACAGAGAAACCTTGTCTCGAAAAAAAAAAAATCATGTGTATGTGCGTGTTCCCGGTTGTCTGTATGTGCGTCACACATGTGCAGGTGCCGGCAGAGGTCAGAAGAGGTCATCAGGTGTCCCGGGACTGTAGCTGCCTGGTGTGGATGTAGGAACCAAACGCTGGTCCCCTGCAAGAAGAGCAAGTGCTCCTTACTGTTGAGCCATCTCTCCAGCCTCACAACCACCCTTTTTTTTGGGGGGGGGGATAAATAATATTGGTTAATTTTTAAAAAGATTTTATTTTTCAGTTATATGTATGAGGGAAGTGTACTAAGAAGCCATTGGAAACCCTGGAGCTGGAGTTACAGGACACTGTTAGCTGTCTAACTTGCTCTAAGCCATCTCTCAAGCACACTAAATTTTATTTTTACTATAGTTCTTAGAATTAGCCTTCACCAATTTTTTTATTACAACCATCATCTGAAATACAATTAACATCCCATGTGGTTAGACACAACTAAAGGGGCTGCGTAAGTTGGAAGCTTGCTCAGATGGGGGTTCTCCATTTAATTATGAATATCATTAAGAGCCTTGTGGGGGACTGGAGAGGTAGGTCAGTGGTGAAGAATACTTCCTGCTTGCTGGGCACTGGTGGCGCACACCTTTAATCCCAGCACCCAGGAGGCAGAGGCAGGTGGATCTCTGTGAGCTCGAGGCCATTCTGGTCTACAGAGCAAGTCCAGGACAGCCAGGGTTACACTATTAACTCCAGTTTCAGGAAATCTGATGCTCTCTTCCAGCCTCCCAGGGCACTGCACACATGTACACAGACACACACACAGTCAGAATACGCACCCACATAAAATTAAAATAGATAAGTATTAAAAAATAAAAGCCTTATGAATCAACCCTTCTTATCCTTGCCATGTAAGATGCAATCCAATGGTTCCCCTGCCTTTCTAGTTCCTAAAAGAAAAAGAAAAGGCTGGTTGTACAAAGCTAAACTGATTTTGAGACCTAATAGTGGGCAGTAGCACTGACCCACAGAGCCGTGAGCTTGTCCCTCACAGGAGTGCCATCAGCTGGGCCACCACCATCCCGCTACACAGGTAATGACCACCTCAAGCAGTCGTCCAGTCTTCTGGTGGCGGCATTCCTTTCCCACACACCCAGATGCGTGAGTGTCTCTTGACAACGGCCACCTGTACTGTTCTTCCACTCCAGTTTACGCTCGTAAGAGCTGGTGACACAGCGAGCCACCCACCTGTTTCCTTGGAGCCTTTGCTCCTGGCCATTCGGGAGGAGAGCTACACGCTGGGAAGGGAACTCTGCCTCTGGGGCCTTCAGCTGACCAACCCCGAGATCGCCAGGCTCGTGAGTGTGCTTTCGAGTTTCTTCAAACCTTAAAATCAAAACCAAGCTTGCAACACCCTGTATTTCAGATGTAGTTTATTTTATTTCTGACTTATTGATTTTCTGCAAGATTTTCTTTCTTGAAAACATTATTTTAATGAGATTCTTCAAACATATTTTAAATAAGTTCCTCATCTTAAATAAGTTTTAAATAAATTTTGAGTAAGTTTCACTTGTTTTTCTTTGAGGCAGAGTTTCTCTGTGTAGCCCTGGTTTGTCCTGCAACTCTGTAGACTAGGCTGACCTTAAACTCAGAAATCCTCTTGCCTCTGCTTCCTGAGTGCTGATATTAAAGGTGTTTGCCACCACTACCCAGCAAGTTTCACTTTTTAAAGAAAATATGGAAAATGACAGAATTAATATCCATAAATTCACCTCCCAATTGTAATATATTCCTTTCAGATTAATATTTACTTATTTACTATGTATGCATTGTTCTGTCTGCATGTGTACCTGCAGGTTAGAAGAGGGTGTCAGATCTCGTTATGAATGGTTGTGAGACACCATGTGGTTGTTGGGAATCGAACTCAGGACCTATGGAAGTGCTCTTAACCGCTGAGTCACCTCTCCAGCCCTAGATTAATTTTTTAAGAATTTACTTACTTAACGCCAGGCGATGGTGATGCACACCTTTAATCCCAGCACTTGAAGGCAGAGGTAGGCAGATCTTTGTGAGTTCGAGGCCAGCCTGGTCTACAAGAGCTAGTTCCAGGACAGGCTCCAAAGCTACAGAGAAACCCTGTCTTAAAACACCAAAAAAAAAAATTCACGAATTCACTTATTTAACTTTATGTGCATGAATGTTTCACCTGCCAGCATGTATGTGCTCCACATGCACCCATGTTGGAGCCCCTAAAACTGCAGTTACAGATGGATGAGATCTGCCATGTAGGTGCTGGGAATTGAACCCAAGTTTTCTGCAAGAGCAACAAGTGCTTTTAACCACTCTGCCATCTCTCCAGCCCCATGATATACTCTTTTAAATGAATAAAATGAGCAAATACTGACCAATATAATAGCCAAAGCGTCAGTCACCTCTTTTCCCCACCTACTTCCTAGGTGGGGCCTGCCTGAGGTAGATGTGTACCCACCATGTATACACTAACCCTTGTAGCAATGTGCATGCATGTTGTCGACATAAGTATGATTCTGTAAATCAGACTTTCACTCACTCGCATTCTGTTGTCAAGAGTCAACCATGTTCAATAATTTTAACCGTTATTCTACATATAAACAATTAACCTGCATTAGAAACTGAAGTTCCTTTATTGCAAATGAGATTTTCACTTCTGGAAAGGGCAAATCAGATAATTAGGATGAACTCTCGCTGAGAACTAGAGAAGCTAAACACACGTGTGCACACGCATACATGCACAATCTCACACACTTCAAAGAGGGGTAGAGGTGGACATGTCCCTGGGATAGTTAATTTAAAAGAGGGTAGTTGAGGAACTTAGAAACATGATCAAGAAGCTAAGCTGGGTGTCATGGCACACACCTTCAATCCCAGCACTTAGGAGGCAGAGGCAGGAAGTTCCCTGTGACTTTCAGGTCAGTCTGGTCTACATAGCAAGTTCCAGGCTACCCGAGCTATGTAGCATGACCCTGTCTCAACAAAGCAAAACCCAGAAAGAAAATTGAAAAGTTTGCCATTGGGCAAGGGAAAGAGGAAGGAAAGAAGAAAGGGAGGAAGGGAGGGAGGGAGGGAGGGAGGGAGGGAGAGAGGGAGGGAGGACAAAACTCTAACTGCACGTTTAGGAAAGAAGTCAATCGTGTTCATTTCCCTGCACTGAGGAGGAAGTGAGGGGAGAAACAATCAAAGCCGGTGGAAAGGAAGATGGTTGACAGCACGGAGTCAGGGGGAATGCAGGCGGAACAACACAAATCAGCTACCACTGCAAGGCCACAGAAATAGTGAAATAGACGCCCATTACCAAGTGTCAGAAAGGATGTGAAGCCACTGAACTTCCCACACTGTGGGAGGGGTTCATACACCGCAGCTACTTTGGAAGACTATATGGCAGTATCTTGATTCCAACGTTTATTCTCCCTCTCTCTTGTTTTGTTTGTGTTGGTGGTGGTGGTGGGTTGCAGTTTTTTGCTTTTTGTTTTTGAGACAGGGTCTCTTTGCAGCACCACGGCTATTCCAGAACTCACTATGTAAACCAGACCGGCTTCAAACCAAGTGCTGATTTTAAAGGGGTGAGCCACCACACCTGGCTAGGGCCTCCAAACTGAGAGGTTCACATCTCTAAGCCTAGAGAACTAGGGACCTATGGCTCCACCTTTCAAAGCTAGAGGCTGACTGCTCTAGACGCTAATGGCAGACTACTGCTCTGGGCTTCCTGGACATCACCGAGCCACCAGTTACAGCCTCTGACTCTCAACATCTGGACTCTGAGCTCACTCAGACTCTTGCTTCTGCTCTCGGCTCCCACCTGTGGCTTCTCACAGCTCCTCCTCTCCCACTCTTAGCTTCTCCGCCATCCTAACAGCTCACTTTTTGTAGACTTGGCTCGCTTTAGATTTACACCGGGGCTCTGAAGTTTCACCTTCACCTGCTGGGAGTATAGCTCTGAGTTTTGGATATCAGAGCCCTCAGCTCCTGGTGGCTTTCTAGAACTTTCAGCTCCCTTCTCACCGCCACTTTCAGCCTATGCTGACTAATTTTATGTCAACTTGACACAGGCTGGAATCCTCTGAAAGGAGAAAACCTCGATTCAGAAAATGCCTCATAAGATGGGGCTGTAGGCAAACCTGTAAGGCATTTTCTTAATTAGTGGTTGACGGGGAGGGGTCCAGCCCATTGTGGGAGGTGGCATCCCTGGGCTTCTGGTCTCCAAGAAAGCAGGGTGAGCACGCCATGAGGAGCAAAGCAGGAAACAGCAGCCCTCCAGACTCCTGCCCTGACTTCCGTCACTGATGGACTATGACGTGGAAGCATAAGCCAAGTGAAACCTTCTCTCCCAAGTTGCCTTCAGTCAAGGTGTTTCAGCACAGCCCTAGTAACCATAACTAGGACACGGGCTGGAAGCTCAGCCCACTCTAGCTAGTGGGTGGGGGAGATCGCACATCATGCAGAGGTAGCACTGGCCCTGTGACTATGGCTCAGCTTTTCAATCTCAGCCAAGAAATAACTGGAAACCGTAGTCTGACCGATACCGTCACCTCCTTAAAGGCCCTTAGCCTTCCGAATCCACCCAAGCCCTTTCAAGGTTTCTGTTCTGAGCTGAACGAGTGCTCTGTGCTGGTTGTAATGGCTGAAAAGCGGCTCATGCAAGCCTCACGACTCGAGGTTTTAAATGCTCTTTCCTTTCAGGCAGGGATTTAACCATCACTGGTATCCTTGACTACCACAAAAATGACCTATCTATGGACCGCTCCACTCTGGAGCAGATGCTGTGGGGACCGCAGACGCTTGTGTACAGCCCAATCCAGGAGCAGCTCCCATAGCAGCTACTGGTTTGCACAGTGCACTTCTGAGCAGGCCTCGGAAGTGATAACGTCTGGGCCTGGGAGCGACAAAGACGTTCTTATGGTTTTTATCTCATGCCAGAGGGCTCACACGCCATACCTCTGTTAAAGAGAGCACAGGCACAGGAGGCTACATTTCCTCAGTAAGAAATCAACATCTCTGGGCCAGTGAAATGCCTCAGCAGGTCATAAAGAAGGGAGGAGAGCACCAACTCCAACACACACACCAACAAATTAAAAAAAAAAAATCTTTTGACAAATTCAGGCCTGGCAAGCTGGCTCAGTGGGGTAAAGGCACTCACTGAGCAAGCCTGAGTTCCAGTCCCAGGACCTATGCAAAAATGAAAAGAGAGAATCAGCTCCACAGCGTCGTTTTCCGACCTCCACATTCGTGGCCCAGCAGGCGCGCATTCCTCCCCCACTCGTAGGTAGCAGTTTTTAAAAGCTGACATCGCCGTAGTCTAAAGAGGCTGCCGGCATCACAGGCTGTGTGGCTGAAGCAACTGCTACTTCTGGAAGTTGAAGTCTAAAATCCAGGGGTCAGCAAGGTTTTCTTCCCATGTCTTCTTAGGGTCCTCTACTTGTGAGGACACTAGTCAAATCAAGTTAGGGATCATCCCAAAATCTCATCATAACAGAGGCACCTAAATCCATGATGCAGCCTTCCGGGAGGCCTGGGTTAGCACTTCAGTATATGAGTGAGGCAGTACTAGTCAAGTGCTGTTTAGTGCAGTGTATCTCACCACAGGGCTTCGTGTTTCCTCATAGGATTCGTCAATGAATCTTTGCTTTAAAAAGGAAAACTCCTTTATTTTCATGCTATGAAATGTAGAAAACCATCTTGGAGGCAAGAGTGTTGCGGTCCTTCGTAGGCTTGATTGACTTGGGAATATATGAGAATGTGGAGCACATCGGCTGTCCTGATGGAAGTGTTTTTCAATCTCCTAGGCTTTGTTTCTGGAGTCGAAGGGGCACACCATTTGCCCAGTTACCACCTTGGAGATCATTAACTGCAAGATGGATCTGTGGTCCCTGGGGCGACTGGGGAAAGCTTTGCAGTTCAGCAATTTGTATTTCCTGGCCCTCGATTACTGCAAGTAAGGCTGAAGGAGGAGTTGTGGCAGGCTGGGCGCTAGATGGTGACAGCTGGAGGATGGGGGAGGGGGGAGGACCACACACCCAGGTTCTTGAGCCTCCTCAAGACCAGAAAGAGAACCCTCCTCCTCCTGTGCCCAAGTAAATGTTAGTGTTCCCCTTTGTTCCTTAAGGTGACCGTGTGCAGGACACAGAGCTAGGTGCTAAGGAAGATATAAAAATAAAGACGCTGTGCAGGCTGGTGTTTGTCACCTTGACGCAAGACAGGGTCATCTGGGAGGAGAATCTTAACTGAGAAAATGCCTGTAGGCAAATCTAGTGCTCTTTCTTGATCAGTGAGTGATGTGGGAGGGCCAGTCTCCACATCAATCATCAATGACACCATTCCTGAGAAAGTGGACATGGGTGTTAATCCCAGCACTCAGGAGACAGAGGCAGGCAGATCTCTGTGAGTTCGAGGCCAGCCTGGTCTACAAGAGCTAGTTCCAGGACAGACTCCAACACTACAGAGAAACCCTGTCTCAAAAAAAAAAAAAGGAAAGAAAGGAAGGAAGGAAGGAAGAGGAAGGAAGGAAGGAGGGTGTGAAGGAGGGAAGGAAGGAGGGTGGGAGGGATGGAAGGAAGGAAGGAAGGTGGGAGGGAGGGAAGGATGGAAGGAAGGAAGGAAGGAGGGTGGGAGGGAAAAAGGGAGGGAAGGAAGGAAGGAAGGGAGGAAGGAAGGAAGGAAGGAAGTTGTGTAGCTTGGTGTTCCTGTGGGACTCCTAACAGTGGGAGCAGGAGCTGTCTCTCTTTTGCCTGCTTTGGGGACCCTTTTCCTACTACTAGTTTGCCTCGTCCAGTCTTAATATGAGGGTAAATTCCTAGTTTTATTATAACTTGATATGCCGAGTTTGGTTAATAACCCTGGGAGGCCTGCCCTCTTCTGAAGAGAAAAAAGGAGGAGTGGATCTGAGGGAGAGGGGATGTGGTGGATGGAGGAACTGGGAGGAGAGAAAGGAGGGAAAACTGCAGTCAGGATGTAATATAAAAGAGAAGAAGAAAGAAGAAAAGAAGAGGAAGAGAAGAGATACAAACAAGGTGATGCTGGCATTCGAAGGCATCTTCAGAGTGGTAGAGCAGACAGGCTCTTCACTATACACAGTGCAAGTTAAAAACTCTGAATGTCACAGAAGATGCCCCAGACATGGTCCATGTTCAGACAGTGGAAAGCGTGGCTCCTCGGGTGACAGGCCAGTCTTCACTGAGGCACAAGGAAGGGACAAAGCAACTGCTTCTGAGAACAAGAGCGTAAGCACATTCGTGGACAGTCAGGGTGAGAATAGCAACACCAGCAAAAGGTTCTCTCTCTGTGTGTCTGTCGGTCTCCTCCCCCCACCCCGTGTGTGTGTGTGTGTGTGTGTGTGTGTGTGTGTGTGTGTGCCAGAGCACACATGGAGTTCAGCGTTCTCCTTCCACTGTCTCAGGGGTGAGGTGGAACTCAGATCATCTGATTTTGTGGCAAGCACATCGACTTGCTGAGTGATCTCAGCCACTCTACCAGCAGAGTTTTCAAGTCCTTACTATACACAAAGCACACTGCTAGGACGAACTCATTTATTCTCCTGTAGCCGCATGAGACAGGCCCTTATCCCACGCCTGCACTACGGACCATAAGAGAAGACTATTGAAGGGCACTGGGCTCTCAGGGGTGGAGTCTATGTGTCAGCCCTGACTGTCTCAACCAGATCCCTGATGCTAGACTTCCTGGGGTCTATTAGTTACCGTCCACAGGCAACCTCAGACTGTTTGTGTGGATGAGAGGAAGTCAGGGAACCTTTCTGATCTGTGATGAGCTGATCTTGGCTTGGGAGGAGTGAGTCTGGGACTCTTCCAGTGAAGTCAAGTTTTGGGAGCTTGTACTCAGGGGTGAGATGTGATCTGTGCTGAGTGGATCTGTGGAGACACAAAGGCCCCTTTAAGAACCAGGTTCTTGTCTTCTGTGTGGGCTGCAGAAGCCTCAGGCAAGATCCCTTCTGCCACACTTTATCTATCCCTTGCCTGCCTCAGGAGTCAGCAGCATCACTAGGCACTTAGTTTTGTGGTTTGCTTTGATTTTTGAGACAGGGGCTCACAATGTACCCCACATTGGTCTTGAACTTCCAACTCCTTCAGCTTCCCAAATGACAGAATTACAGAGTGCACTGTTGTCCAGGTTTGCTTTTGATTTCTATGGTAAGCACTAAGACCAAAAGCAATTCCCACATGACAGTCTGTCACTGAGGGAAGTCATGGCAGGAACTCAGGGCTGGAACCTGAGATCAGGGACTGAAGGAATCTTTCTGACTGGCTTGCTCTCCTGGCTTGCTCAGCTTGCTTCTTGTTGTTGTTGTCAAGGTTGCTGTTTGGAACAGGGTCTCTTTGTATAGCCCTGGCTGACCTCGAACTTGGTAAGTTAGACCAGACTGCCCCCAGACTCAGAGATCCATCTGCCTCTGCCTCCTGGGTGCCCTGGGTTTAAAGGAATACACCACCCCTCCCAGCTCAGTTTGTTTTTTAAACAACCTAGAACCACCTGCCCAGGGATAGTACTACCCACACTGGGACAGATCTTTTCAAATCAAATCTTAATCAAGACATAGACTTGCCTATATGCCAATCTGATGGAGGCGTTTTCTCAGTTGGCTCACCCTCTTCCCTGATGATCCTAGTTTGTATCATGTTGACAAACCAGAAAACAAAAACCTAAAATAACAAACAAGCAAACCAACCATTCAACCATACAAAAACAAAACAAAACAACAACAAAAACTAGCCAGCACAACCCTTAGGTCAAGCCCCAGCCCAAGCCCAACAATTACTTGTTAATTATTATTTAATAAAGTTTAAGTCAATTTTAGACCAGTATGAAGTGGCATGTGGAAGGCTGAGACAGGAAGCGCTCCTCCAGTTCAAATACAGCCTGACTAAACAGCAAGACTTGGCCTCAAAACAATAATGTCGCTGTCAATCCATTTCTAACATCTTCAAGTTCAAACCTTGACATTGCAAATTCCTTGCAGATACTACATTAGCTCCCTGCCTTTCAGTCCCCTGACAGGAGCATGTCACCAGTCCCGTCCAGCTGACTGACAGGCGCATATCACCAGTCCCATCCAGTTTACAGGCGCATGTCATCAGTCCCATCCAGTTGACAGGTGTATGTCACCAGTCCCATCCCGAGGCTGTGGAATATGCTTGTGAGCCACTTTTCGAACTAAATATTGTGCAATGAGGGAACCCAGTCGTAACAGAAGGATGAGAGGCTGGACTTCCTCACAGAGTCCAGCTGCTACTGGGGCTTCCTAGACTCCACTGCCAGCGGCATCACCGTGTCCGAACCCCCATGCCCCTCTCTGTTCTACCTCAGCATCTGCAGCCTGTCCTCTGTGGTCGCCCTTGAAAGCGTGCTTCCAATCAATCATCTTTAGCTCTCTTTGCTCTGGAATCTGACTTCAGATCCCCTTCCCTCCTTACAAGAGCCCCTTTTTTCAGGGTCAACCCTACACTATCCCTCAGCTATCGCTGGCCCTAGAAACTCAAGCTAGGATTGGCAGGAACACTTCCAGCTGGCCTGGGGAAGACTTCGGAGGTAGCCATTGGCCTGTTGCTGGGAGCACAACACAAAGGTCTTGAGCCACAGACCTCCAGAGACACCAGGGGTGTTAAGCACACAGGATTGTCTTTCCAATGGGAAAGATGGAAGACCTGCTCTTCCATCCTGAAAGCTGGGAGCTGGAAGTGATGTGTGTTATCTGTTGGGCCAACCCTATCAAGTTCCTACAACCGGAAACGGAAGTGGCTAGTGATCTAAATGACTCTTACAACCAGAGGCTCCCCAAGACCCACAATCAGGACTGGAGATACCTAATATTCTAAATGACCCTTACATGATATGTGTAGCTAGAGGCTCCCCAGGCTCCCATGACCAGGACCCAGATGCCCTCTATGCTATCTGTATGATCAAGAGTGGGCCAGACCCTTCCTTAGGCCCTTAAGCTAGTACAAGTAGCCTATCTTTGGAATTCATCTTCTTGGAAAGAATGGCATGTACCCTGAGTTGAGTTTCAATATAATTATGCTTCCTTGTGCACCAGGGATTGAATTACACCAGGAAACTTTTTTTCCCCAAATTATATTGTGTTTGAATATGCTGGGAATAAACTGCCTGGCATCAGACCTCCCAGAATTCAGGTTGATCTTCCTTCCTTCCTTCCTTCCTTCCTTCCTCCCTCCCTCCCTCCCTCCCTCCCTCTCTCCCTTCCTTCCTTTCTTCCTTCCCTTCCTCCTTCCCCTCCCTCCCTCCCTCTCTCCCCCTCCCTCCCTCCCTCCCTCCCTCCCTCCCTTCCTCCTTTCCTTGTTTCCTTTCTCTCTCTCTTTCTTGCATTCATTTATTTATATTTTTACTTATGCTATTTGAGTTTCTGTGTGTAGCCCTGGCTGTCCTAAAACTCACTCTGTAGACCAGACTGGCCTCAGACTCACAGAGATCCACCTGCCACTGCCTCCCAAGTGCTGAGATTAAAGGTGTGCGCCACCACCACCTGGCTCTAAACCAAGTTTTCATTCACACCTCTTCACGGTTTATTTCCCTGCAATGACCAACCACAGCGTCCCCCTTGACCTGTAATACAGTTTAAAAACTATGTGGTTTGTTTTGTCTTTTCAGGTTTGGAAATAAAGAACTTGAGAGTATCTTCTCAGGCCTGGAAAACAACCAAAGGCTCCAGGGCCTCAGTCTGCGCTACTGTGGCCTTGGGCCTCCAAGTGGGCTGAGGCTGGGCTCTGTCATCAGCCAGAGTGCCGTTTGGTGAGTTGACCCCCGGCCCTTGCTCACCTTGTCTCATTGCACTGTGCATCCTTGTGGCTAGATTTGCCCCCGCCCCGTGCGCATGTATGTTTGTGAAGGTGTACACACAGGCATGCAGAGAGAGGTCAGCTTCGCCAGCTGCCATTCCTCAAGCGCTCTCATCTGGTTTTCGAATCCGGGTCTGTCACTGGCTTGAAGCTCACCAAATAGGCTGAATGCAGAGAGCTCCAGGGAAGCCCCTGTCCTCCCCCTGCAACCCTGGGATAACAAGCACACCACCATGCCCCGTGCTGCTGCTGTTCTCTAAATTTCACCAGAAGTTTATCTCTATTTTGTTTGTATCGTGTATGTATACATATGCACATCTGGAGGTCAGAGTCCACCAAATGGATTCCTCTCTCCCACTCTCTACTCTTTGAGACAAGGTCTCTCACTTAACAGAAAGCTTGCCATTCAGCTAGACTGACCAGTCAAGTTCCAGGGACCCAACGGTCTCTGCCCCCCAATGCTGGGATCACAAGTATTTGTGGGTATGCCTGGCTTTTACGGGAGTGCTGGGGATTTGAACTCAGGCCCTCTTGGCTTCATAGCAAGTGCTTTACCCACTTGGTCATCCCCATGGCCCAGTGTCCAGTGTTTTTCTCTGGGTTCTAGAGACCAAACATGGGTCCTCATGCTTGCTTGGCAAGCACTTCATTTATTAAGCTATTTCCCTAGCACCCCCCACCCTTTCTTTTTCTTACCCTGAGGAGAAAAAAGCCTTTAGTGAACTTTGAGAACCAAGGGTATCTGCTGAGGGCATGGTTTGTGCCACTGGCATAGCCAGCTTTTGTGACATGGTGTAGCGTATGCTTCCTGAAATTATCCACTGACTCTGTTATGTTATGTCATCTATGACTCGTTATGTCCTGTCGGAGAAAGATTTTAAATTCAAAGTTGAAGTGAACCTGGCAGCCAGGGAGCAATGCTTTCTGCCCTCTTCCCCAGCAAGCTGCACCTGGATGGAAATGATCTGCAGTGTTCTGGGACGCTGGCCCTCCTCAGACCCTTAGCAGAATATGCAGAGTTGCAGGGGAAGGACCGGCCCGCCACGGCATCACCTCACACTGGAAATCTCCCTCTGCTTCCCCAAGGTGAGCCCTGGGTACCACTTCTAGGCTGCCCCGGTTGGTTCCTGAAGGGAGGATTCTGCTTTGCAAGCCGCTGGCTTCTTAGCGCTCACTGGAGACCTGGAGGCGTCTCTGCCCTGACCTTCAGCACCTGTGAGTACGTTCACGTGACAGACAGATGTCCGGTCAGGAGTCCGAGGTGGAGATCTTCTCCTGGACTAGCCTGGGAGGAGCAAGCACAATCACGACCTTTCTAAGAGGCAGGCAGGAGGGAGATGCGAAATGGAAACTGAGGCACAGTCATCTGAGCTGGAGTGTGGGTAGTCTCTGGTCTCCAGAAAAAGCAAAGAAATTTCCCTATAACCTTCTGAGGACCTAGCCTGAAGATGTCCTGACAGTCACTTGTAGGATCCGTTTCAGGCTTCCAGCTTCCAGAACAGTGAGGCAGAAAGCTTGTGTCCCTTCAAGTCCCACCTCATCCCCACTCCCAGCCCCTGTTACCCCGCATACCCCACTCCCACCCCCACTCCCACCCCACCCCCTACCTCCATATCTATTTCCTTCAGTTTTGTGAGACAGTCTTGCTCTATATCCTGGGATATCCTGGAACTCATCACGTAGCTCAGGCTGACCTCAAATGTGTGCTAGTCTTCCTGACTCTACCCTGTGAGTGTTGAGATTACAGGCATGGGCCACCACTTCCAATTTTAAGCTTGGGTTCTGTTAAGCCATTCACTTTATGGTCGTCTATCATAATTACTATGGCCATAGTAATTAATATCAAACTCATCAAATTAGCAAAAGCAGGTCAAACAGGATTGAAGGATACTCATGCATGGCACACATACCTCCCCCCTCCAGAGATGGCTAGATTCAGGGACTAAACCATGGCAGCAAGAGCCCTTGAGTTTGCAACCCTAGTCCTCTTTGGTCCTCACACCTACATCTTGGTCCAGGCTCTACGGCCCAGGTCCTGATGAGCCACGATTGGCAGGACTCATCACACACCTTGGGGGTGGGGGTGAGATGGGAATTGGGTCAAGTACTGTGCCAGGATTGTGTGACTCACAGAAAGCATGTCCTCACCAGACAGCAGGCAGACAGATGCAGGAAAATGAACCACCTCCATTCACTCCCCCTTTAAATTTAAGTGAATCCTAAGAATGCATATTTATGGTACATTTTAAAGCTGACTACGTTTACTAATTGGTTGTCTGTATCAGATGGCTAGTAACACAGACAGGGGCATGCCTGTGTGTGACTCTGAGCACTGTTTCAGACTCTTCAGCTGCTAAGTGAACATTACGGTAATCAGCTTCCGTGTCGGGAAGGACTGAGCGACACATACTGGAGGCATATGCGTCATCCTCACCGCTATAGCGGGTTGGCGTTTTTCTAAGAGGAAAAAATCTGTCATGGTGGGAAACTCAGTTGCTCTATATTCTGGGGAGGAAAGCAGTGATGGGGAGCTGAGAAAAGGTGGCTTTGGGGAAAAAGAATGCTAGGAACCTGCAACTGACAATGACTGTCACCTCTTTAGAGACTTTCATGGATCAGAATCACCCAGGTCACTTGTCAAGACAGGTTATTCAGCCAAGCCTTTCTGTGTACCAAAGAAACCGGAAATACTGCTTACCGTCTCCGTATTTTCCGTACACTGCTTTTACACTCTCGTGAAGAACCGCAGTCTACTGACTGATCCTGTACTGCAGCTGTGGGCTCAAAATAGCTAAGTGATCCAGCGTGGGTATTTGTTTTTGAATGATTATAAATGTAAAAGCCATGTCTTGAGGGTTTGGCGTGTGGCAGACAGGCAGGAATGAGAGGTGGAGAGGGGAAAGAACGCTCCGGGATGTAAGGTGGAGATGCGGGTATCCTATTCCAGCTGTCTCAAGCAGTTTCTCTTAGGGGGAAGCTGAAATTTAATATTAAAACTTTTAGGGGCCAGCAAGGTGGCTCGGCAGTGACGGTACCTGCTGCAGAGCCTGGAACATGGTGGAAAGAGACCGGCAAGTTGTCCTCTGACTTATAGAACTCACACATACATGCACATGCATGCATGGATTCACACACACGCACACACGCACACATGCACTCGTGCGCAAGCTCGCAGACACAGACACTAAGTAAATAAACAAAACATGATTTTACAAAGAATACATGGTGGCATACGCCTTTAATCCTAGTACTCAGGAGGCAGCGGCAAGCAGATGTCTGTAAGTTCAAGGCCTACCTGGCTTATATAATGAGTTCCAGGCCAGCCAGGGCTATATAGTAAAATCCTATCTTTAAATAAATAAGTGAAATTTACATACACCCACAACAACAACAACAAAAAAGTGATTTTTAAAAAATCAGATAAAAGTTCTGGAATTGTTTTGCCAAAGAGGCAAATAAATAAATAAATAAAACAGAAACAAAACCAAAAAACCCCAGGTCAGAGAAGGTGGCAGAGAGTCTGCAGCTGCCGTCCCCCAAGCAGCTCAGGACGGCCCGGAAATGCAGCGCACATCTTGTGTTCAGGATCTCAGCAACGACAACAGAACCCCCACCCACGCTCAAGGGCTTTTCTAGGACCCCCTCCCCCTAGGCTGCCACTTCCGTTCTCCTGAGCCTTGCTCTTCATTCAGCTCAACCTGCTGCTTTAACGTTAGTTTTCTCAGGTGGCTGTAGCAAAATCCCACAGGCTTGCTGGCTAAACAAGAGAAAATTAATCTCTCACAGTTCTAGAGGGTAAAATCCAAGATCAAGGTGTCAGTCCAGGGCTAGAGAGGCAGCTCCTCTAGTAGGGTGCTTACTGAGCACGTGCAAAATCCTGGGTCCACCCAAAACTACATTAGAGTTAGAGTCTAGCCTGGAGCATGTGAAAGCATGTGTGACTATGTGTGAGCTACTCCCAGCCCCACCCACCCCGTAACAAATTCTTCTTTTCAGGCTCAGACACAGGGGCATCCTGTTGCCCCCAGCACCAACAAGTTTATGAGTTGTTACGACACATAAAATATAATCTTTTTATGGGGGGGTTTCTCTGTGTAATAGCCCTGACTGTTCTGAAACTCACTCTGCAGATCAGCCTGGCCTTCCTTGAATTCACAGATCCACCTGCCTCTACCTCCCGAGGGCTGGGATTAGAGGTGTGTGCCATCATCTTTTGCCATTTTTTTGAGTTAGGGTTTCTCTGTAGACCAGCCTGGCCTGGAACGCAGCGATTCACCTGCCTCTGCCTCCCGCATGTGGCCTTTCAAGGCATGGGCCACCCCAGCCCAACTCCTACACAGTTCTTAATGCAGGTCAACAAAGTGTATTCCTCCATAACTGTTCTTAGTAATCCCAGGAAGGTGGGGCCACGGTTATCAAAAGCAGCTGTGGCCTGAGGGAGTCACCAGCAACTGCGGGATGACTCTGGGAGCCCTACTTGGCTCTGCTGGGTTGCATGTTGTTAGCTTTGCAGCAGGCAAATAGAAACAACAGAACCTAAGCGATTCTGGTGCTGTTCAGCTAATTCTCTCCCTTGCATGAAGTGTCTATAAAGCAAAGGCAAACAATCACCAATACCAAAGGATGCCGAGAATCATTTCCTTGTCTCTGACCCTGCACTGTTGTTCTATCTTTTTTCTTTCTTTCTTTTTTTTAACCAGTGTGTGGAGGTGGAAGCTCAACTTTGAGCCAGATTGCGAAATCTTCCGAAGCTGCAACAGTGAAAAGGACCTCCCGGAGGAAAAGAGGGGAAAGAGGTATTCTGGTTGTCCTTTCAATTATTCTTTCCACTCCCTTTACCTTCCAACTCACTCCCTGTGTGTCCCTGGTGCATAATTATCCCAAACAAAGACTTAAAATCAAATGGAGAACAAGCAGATTCAATGTCTTGTGACCTCACACAAACCACCCATGAACAGTTTCGCCATGCCTGCCAGAGAAATTCATCATGGGCACAGTCAACATTCCAGAGGAGCATGGTTTGGAACAGTTCTACCAGGAGCTGCCAGCAAGGCCTCGGAATCTGGGTTACTCAGGGTTAGAACCAGGGTAATGGTGAAGGGGCTTTCAGAGAGATGGGAAGGGGCAGAAATAGGGCAACAGGGAGGGGGAAGAGGAGCGAGGGGGAGGGAGACAGAAAGAGAAAGAAACTGAACTTGGAATGGGATTTACTACCCCAGGAGCCTCCCAAGGGCTAAAGTTCACAGTGTTGCTGCAGCCCCTGCTCCTGCGCTCCTACCCTGCCTGGCTCTCAGCATCCCACCCTGCAGAGGGCAGATTGGGCCCTACAGGCTCCTCTCCAGGCACTAATGCATTAAAGTTCTAAGGATGCAGAGCAGGAGGGCTGCTGGGTGTGTCCTGAAACAGCCTTTGGGAAGCTCTGGTGGTGTAGCCTGCGCTGCTGTGGTCTGAGCATTCGGTGGTTTGTATTTTGCCTTTGTGGGGAAGACAGCCAGCTGTCTGAGAGGAACCTAATCTCCTTGGCCTCCTTCCTTCTTCAATTTTAATCTGTTCTTGTGTGGTCGTTTTTTTGTGCCCTTGAGTTATCGTTGAGTCTTTTCTGTGAAATATGGCTACATTAGAAAATTACAGACTCTTGTTGTCCAAAAACCACAGGAAAATGTAAAGCCGGGTGCATGCCCCTCTATTCACTGGCTGGAGGACAGAAGGAGGATGATCGAGGAGGTCAAGGTTATCTTCGGCTACAAAGCAAAGTTTGAGGCAACCCCGGGCTATAGGATGCCTTGGCGTAAGAGAGAGAAGTGGGAGACTATAAAGCAAGAATCATATCAGGCCCTGCTCTGCTGTCTGTCTTGGATGCAGTTTTCCCATTGGGTGATGCTAACAGAGAAGGCAGTCAACCTCTCCAAGTCTAAAGTGGCCTTTGATGTGTTCTCTGGACCAGCAGAAGGGCGTTCTGCTCCAGATTTGGGGTCAGAGAAAAAGCTTTGGGGGCAAGTTGGCCGAGAGTGGGAACAAGAAAGAACTTGAACAAGGAAGGACTTAAGTAGGAAAGACCTTCCCAGTACCATCCAGGAACACACAAGTTTGGCCAAGACAAGAGGATGCAGGATTAAGGGACCTACAAGCCAAGACAAGAGGATGCAGGATTAAGGGACCTACAAGCCAAGACAAGGGCTTGGATTTGGCCCAGGAGACAACTGAGGCCATCAGTCTCCTCAGCCTGAACCCAATGGAACAATTTTCATCGTGTGTGTGTGTGTGTGTGTGTGTATGTGTGTGTGTGTTTGTATTTTCAGGGATATCAAAGCTTCAAAACACCTTCCCAAAGGCAGAGCATGATGCCACAAGTCTCCTGAGGCATAGGGGAATAGAGTTATATGAGTTCAAGACTAGCCTGGTCTGTATAGAGGGTCGTAGGCTAGCCAAGGCTACATCTAAAAAAAAAGACCGTCTCTTCTCACATTGTACAACTGCTTAACAGTCATGGGGGATGGGGAAGTGAATCTGGTCTTTGGTAGGACTCTACCTGTTTCAAAGTGAGGGGCCGAGAAGAGCTGATTGTGCCATGCTCCTGAGTAAGGAGGACAGATGGTTTCCATTTGGTCCTAATTGGAAACAGCCAAAATATTTTCATGCACACCCCTTGTGGAAGGAGGTTTTTGGCCTGCTGCTTGGCCATCCCCACAGTATCTTCTGAGGCCAAACACCACTCAGAAACCTAGCCCTTCCCCCCACTCTCCTCTCATTTGGAGTCCTGAGAACATTTACAGTGATAACCACAAAAACGAGACAACTGACATTGGGAGGCTGTCTATAGTTTGTTGGCGGAACACAGTATTCTGTGTGGCTACCTGCAGTTGTACACGTTCCTGTCCCAGCCATTCTGCATTGGTTGCACCACTGAACACACAGAATCATTAAATCAGAGCTGTTTGACCCTGAGAGTTTGGGCGCCATCCTGTGGGTGCCATCCCGCGGGACTCTGAGGAAAGGCTGAGACTGCTGGTCCAGAGAGATCACTGGGAACCACTTCTTTAAACATGAAAACATTGACTGCCTCCCTTGGTTTATTTTGCTCGGTGAAGATGAGAGAGCAGAGTGGGGCTCTCTGATGCCTCTTCTGTGCCTTGGGAACCTCAGAACAAGCAGGCCAGGCCCATCCTGCTGGGCTGCTTGGGTTCATCCAGCCTCTGTGGATCCAGCTCTGAGACCCAGGCCCTGTCTACACAAGGTTGTGTACAAGAGTTTAGAGGTTGGTCAGCCTTCAAACAGGTGACACCCAGCTTTTCCGCAGCCCAGTCACCAACTATGCAGCAGCAGAGGATGGCAAAGGCTCGGAGTCACCAAATGGTCGTGAGGAATGGCCACCTGAAGATAGCAAGGTTCCCCTGAACCATTCTGCTGGTCCTGCCTTGTCACCTCAAGACCCCTCACAGTCCCAGAAGACACAGTGGGGAGCAAGGAGTGTCTTGGAGCCTATTCTTTTCCCAGCAGAAGTTACACAGTGTAGCGGTCCCCAGGGTTGTTTAAGTTCTGGAGGACTGAGGATGAGAAGGGTCAACCTGTGGCTTAGCTGTATGAACAGGGGCAATGGTCCTTCCATGGTCCTGATGACTTAGCTGTATGAACGGAGGCAATGGTCCTTCCACGGTCCTGATGACTTAGCTGTATGCACGGGGGCAATGGTCCTTCCACGGTCCTGATGACTTAGCTGTATGAACAGGGGCAATGGTCCTTCCACGGTCCTGATGACTTAGCTGTATGAACGGAGGCAATGGTCCTTCCACAATCCTGATGAGATCAGCACTTGACTCCAATAGCAAGCTGGCCAAGTCAGGTTCAGTTCTCCAAATAAGGCACTATTGTTTATATCAAAGCCACAGCCCACAGAAATACCAGTGGCAGTAAGGAATGCAAGAGCCCACTTCAAGAGTCAAGATGTAATCTTCAAAAGCTGTATTCATTCAAAAACAGGAAGTTACCAGTCACAATCCTGAAGTCACTGTACTCGTGATTTTATGCTAGGGACAGCTGATCATAGGCTGGAAACCTCTACAGAAAGGGACCCTCGGTGTGAACCAGCCAGCACCCGTCACATTCTGTTTTCTAGAGTCCCAGGATCTTTGGTGAACCAGCCAGCATTCATCACATTCTGTTTTATAGAGTCCTAGGATCTTTGGTGTGAACAAGCCAGCACTTGTCACATTCTGTTTTATAGAGTCTCATCATTGAGCAGATGAAGTTCACTTCCATAAAATGGCGTGGTACACGGGAAATTGCATGTGTCCATTATCAGTGGGAGGGTGTTATATCTAAACAACTTTAAAAGAATTGTAGCCAGGCGGTGATTGCACGCCTTTAATCCCAGCACTCAGGAGGCAGAGGCAGGCAGATCTCTGTGAGTTCGAGGCCAGCCTGGTCTACAGAGCTAGTTCTGGGACAGCTAGGATGGGTACACAGAGAAAACCTGTCTCAACCAGGAAAAAAAATCTACCTCAAGGAAGGCTCGGTGTCTACAGACAAGTACTTCAGGCTCTGGTGCCTACAGAGTGTGTGGTGCCATTTGTCCTGCTGGACCAGAGGAGACCAGAGGGTGAGGGAGAAGATGAAGCTGTGTGGGAGGATGTGGATTCCATGAACAGTCACACTTGCCCTTTAGGATCTGGCCCAGAGAGCTCTCGGGAAGGAATGAAGTGTTACAGCTGGAAAGAGGCCATTTTAAGTAGAACCCAGCCCCCCCACACCCCACCCATGAGAAATAGCTCAGACGATGAGGAGATTATGGTGGTCAACACCGCAGACTGTGGCATGGGGAAGCTGCTGCAGATGATCGAAGGGGCCAGTAGCCCCTAACCAGAAGTGGTGAACATCAAGCTACAGCTGTCTCGTTGCTATGACAACACCTGACAGAAGTCGTTCTCGGAGGAAGGGCTTATTCTGACTCACGTTTCAGAGAGGTCACAGTCCATCGTGGGGAAAAACACACAGTCGAAGGAGTGTGGGGCGGATTTTCACACACAGCAGCCAGACAGGGAGCCAAGAACACAGGCCAGAACCACAGTGGGAACAGCACTCAAGGCTGGCTTCTAGTGACCGGCGATTGCCAGCCAGGCTCTTCATCACAGTTTCCACAACTTCTCAAAACAGCACCGCCAGCTGCAAGTCGCGAGTTTAAACCTCTGAGACTGAGCATTTCACAGTCAATGACATAGAGCCATGGTGGTTTTGAGTGTTTGCTTGTTTGTTTGAAGTTTTAGAAATTTTGTTTTTGTTTGGGTTTTGTTGTTGTTTGCTTTGTTTTTTATTTGTTTGGTTGATCGGTGTTTGGTTTTTGAGACAGTTCTTAAGTATCCCAGGAGAGCCTTGAGCTCATTATTAACTGAGGAAGGCCTTGAACTTCTGATTCCTATTCTCTGCTTCCTGAATGCTGAGGTTATGGTTTCAGAGTGGGACAGGAGCATAGTGGAACTGAGCCGTTGATCTTGGGCAGTTCTCCAAGACAGAGAGAATGGACCACCTGGAAGATGGAAACTCATTCAGCTGGGTGGATCTGGATCAATCTGCAGAGTGGCTTCCAGGTTAGATGTGCCAATGTCCGAAATAAATGTCAGACCCTTTGGTAGGGGGACACCTTGTTGATAAGTTACCAGGTTGCTTGCCTGCAATGTTTTAGGAATTCAGGGAAGTCAGAAATGACACCGGGAAGCAAGGCACCACTGTGTGCCATGCACTGTGATCCATTGAAAATGCTACCTTGTCGCCCCTCAGAATGGTGCCAGGAGACGGGATAACGGCCTCTTTTATGAGGCTCAGAGATGCTTAGGTACTTTATAGGAGCCACAGGTCATTTTATTTGTTTGTTTGGTTGGTTGGTTGGTTTTGGTTTTTTGAGACAGGGTTTCTCTGTGTAGTTTTGGAGCCAGGTTCTCCACGACAGAGAAGTGTGTTCAGACAGTTATTGTTAGAGAACCTGTCTGTTTATTTTTTCGTGTATGGGTATTTTTGTCTATGCTCCATGTGGATGCTTGGTGCCCAGAGGGGCCAGAAAAAAAGTATTGGATCCCCTGGAACTGGAACTGTAGATATTTGTGATGAAAATGGAACCCGAGGGGTTGGAGAGATGGCTCAGTGGTTAAGAGCACTGCCTGCTCTTCCAGAGGTCCTGAGTTCAATTCCCAGCAACCACATGGTGGCTCACAACCATCTGTAATGAGATCTGGTGCCTTCTTCTGGCCTGCAGGCATACATGGAGGCAGAATGTTGTATACACAATAAATAAATAAAATCTTTAAAAAAAAAAAAAGAAAGAAAGAAAGAAAGAAAATGGAACCCAAGGCCTCTGGAACAACAGCGAGTGATCTCAACTGCTGAGTCATCTCTTCATCCCATACCTGGTTTGGTTTTAAAGTAATTTTTAAAAAAGGAGTAAAAATTAATTAGAGTGAGTACAGCTGGGGTAGATCAAGTATGACCAGGGGCTGAGCGTGTCCTGATCTGTATCCCAAGGAATTTGTTTTCCTCCCAGAAAGAGGAGCTTGGTGTTGCTTTGGTTAAAGCCCCAGACCAGGATCAGAGCAGGATCTGAGCGGCCACTGTTTCCCTGCATCCTTTGTGAGTTCCTAAAACCCATAAGAGGTCTATCTTCCAATCTGGTCCATTTGTTGTGGGCAAAAAATGATGTTTTCATTACTCCTTGATGCCAGTTTGGGAGCGGTTGAGACAGTTTGCCCATGGGGATGCAAGCTATTCCCAGTCAATCACAGGCCGAGCAGGCTCCCTCTCCAAAGGCACACATTTACACGGAGCTGATCCAGCAGGGTGCTGGGTGCCTGACAGTGACTCTCCTTGCAAAGCTGAGCATCTGTATAGGAATTTGGCCCTCAGTCCTCATCCCTGGCTGAGGATGGCTCAGGTTTTATCATTTGCTACTTTCTGGTGTGTGGAAATTAGGAGAAAGAAATGAGAACCGGTGTGATCAGTGTCCACCTTGTCAGGGCAGATACTCCACTCTCAAAGGTATTTTAGATTTGTGAAAAATTTTTATAAATGAAAAATCACATTCCATTCATGTTCATGAGTGGAATCAAGGCATTATACTCAAAAACAATAATGAATGGCATTAAGTTTGGCAACAAGTGCCTTTGCCTTCTGAGCCACCCTGCTGGCTCTTCCCTGCTTTAAATCAAGCCGTTTACCCTTCAGGCCAGTCCCATCTGAAGCAGTGCACGGAACAGTGAGCTTGGGAAGGCCTCAGGGAGCACTCTAGCTTGGGGAGCAGTGGTTCAGGTTTCCCACCTCTCCTGGCTGAGTGGGTGAGCCTGACTTATGCTCACAGCTGTTTTCTCTTCTTGTTTTCTTCTTTCTCAAACTCCTAAAATTGAACTGGAGTGAATTAAATGTGTATGCTGTGCCACTTGGTGGCCCTGACAATGAACTCTGAGAAACCTCAGCAGACCAATGAGGGTGAACCAGACGTAGGACTCCGGCCCTCAGTCATGCCGTTGTGAGTCACTGAGGCAGGCTGTCTTTTCTCCTTCTGACGCTTCCTAGAACCCAAAGCTTGGAAAATGACTGCTTCTCAGGCTTCTATAATGAGCTAAGCCCCTTTCAATAAAAACTGTCGACTCCCCGGAGATAATTTTCCTCTTTAGTAGATTAACAGTGACTATCTGGCTCCGAGATGGGATTGTCTATCATGCAGTCTGGGGCCGCTGCTGTAAAGGATGGCGTGGAACCAAATGCAAAAACCAGGACTTCCAAAATCACATATATTCTATTCATTGATTGTGTTGCAAAATAAGTTTATTCAGAAATCCAGTATGTGCAAACTCTGTTGGAAAATTGGTTTAGCTGGTAATAAATAGGGGAGCTATCTTCTAAAAATAATACCGGTGTTCCGACTTTTCTTGCAGGAATCAGGAAAAAAGTTAAAGGCCTGATGGAAGCTGGCCCTTGGGTGGTGGCGTTGCATTTGGCAGACAACAGCATCGACAGAACAGGAGTGGAGGGAGAGCAATTGCTGGAACTCACTCAAACTTTAACACGGTGGGGAACAGTAAGAGCTTCGAATTCGTTCACTCTCTAAAACTAGAGGGACAAAGCTGACCCACACAGCTGATCACAGCTTTTCAGCAATTCTTGTGTGGCTTCTCAGCTCAGAGAGTGGCACTTACCAGTCCTGGTCTCGGTACTTGTGCCCCTCAGGAACCTCACAAGGAGCCTCATATGAAAAGGGTGGCAGTTGGGGCAATAGAGGAGGCAAGACTACTGCTAAGGTCGGGATGGAACTCAAACCCTGACCGATGTCAAGAGGAGGAAGGGCAGCTTGCTTGGAGCACACGTTCTTATGTTTGGTTAGGAAGCTACCTACCCTGGACTCTTATAGCAAAAGATGGAACTAAACTTCTCAGAAGCTTCTAGAAAGCACTGTTTCCCTGTCATGCTTATTTTGACAACATGAGGCATTCTCCCATCCATCTCTACTGAACCCACATCCTAAGCTGACCAGTCATTGACAGGGCTTGCAACCACTGCAGGAACTGCAGGGTAATAAAGGGCTCTGGGCAGCACTGACTCAGGGCCACAGCACCACTGACGGCCAAGATCAATGGGCACGGCTGACGTCTGAGGCCTGAAGGCTGATGGGTAGCAGGTTTTATCACGACAGAAAGAGGTTCCTTTCTTCCTTACTCAAGAAGGATGGGAAGGCTTCCCAGTTGGCAATCAACGCTGCCCTTTCCCAGATAATTACATCAATAATTTCTATTCCGGTATCTTTTTGACCTTAATATATTGCTGAAGTAAACTGCTAGAGGCGTGTTCAGGATTTTTGTGTTTACATCCATGAGCTACATGGATTCATAATCTCTTTCCATGTAATATGTTTGCCTGCTTGGGATCAGAAGCCCTCGGTTGCCTGGAGTTTTCTCGGCAGGGATTTTTGTGGTTTTTTATACAAGTCTCACTATCCTGCCCATGCTGGCCTCAAATTCATGGCCTTCCTGCCTCAGCCTTCTGAACACAGGGGTTACAGGCATGTGCCATCACACTTAGTTCGACCAAAACTCATTTTTCAAAGCAGTATATGTTAGGTTGGTGCTAGGGTTTACATGGAACACACAAGGCCTTGGGTTTAACCCCCTACACTGAACCAACCAACCAAACAAACATTTAGTATAAGGCTCTTCTGACTTTGAGGGATTTTGCCTGACATATTCTAAGTTGTTTCTTTCAAAGAATGTATTTATATACATTGTCAAATATATTAGAATAAAGTTATTCATAGTTCTTAATTGTCCTTTTAGAAACTGTAGATGCTGTGAAAACATCTTTTTCTTTGACTTTGGTCACTATGTTTTCTCTTTCTTCTTGTACATTTGGTTAGAAACTTATCAGTGTTACTGATCTCAGAGAATCAACTCTTGGTTTTCTTTAATTTTTGTTTGTTTTGTTTTCTTTTTTCTTTTTGTTTTTTGTTGTTGTTAGTTTTTTTGTTTGTTGTTTGTTTTTTGAGACAGGCTTTCTCTGTGTAGCTCAACTGTTCAGGAGCTTGCTTTGTAGACCAGGCTGGCCTCAAACTCACAGAGATCAACCTGCCTTTGCCTCCCGAGTGCTGGGATAAAGGCATGCGCCACCACTACCTGGCCTAAGTTTTCTATACTCTTACTGCTTTTAGGTTCATTTTTCTCCCTTTTTACCTCCTTTGTCTGCTTATCGTGGATTCCAGGGCTTCGATTCCCTCCTGTGAAATGATCATGGTAGTAGTGTCTAACACAGGAGGCAGAAGTTAAATAAATCATTTGTGCAAAGAGCTAAGCAGTGTTCAGGGATCTCGTTCATCCTTTTGTCCAAATAGGAGAAGAGCCACTCTGGACAGAGGAGGGAAGGAGGCACCACCTCTGGCCAGTTGAGCAAATGAAGTCCCCTCTACGTCCAGTCTTCTGGGTTCAGCACTGGGCAGGAAACTGAAGCCTCCCGGGGGCAATTCTGTAGGGCAGAAGCCTTCAAGTCTGGTGGCGGCCAAGGCACAGCAACACCAGTGAGACTCAGCTTCCTCAAACGTCACAGACACAGAGCTGAGTTATCAAGTCGGTCTTCGGCATCCCTCCCTCTCCCGTGGGTCTCCTTTTCCTGGCAGCATCCCTTCCTTTACCTTTTAGTTCTTTTTAGGTTCATTTATTTTTTTATTTTATGTGTACAGATGTTTTACCTGCACATATATGCACCACATATGACCCGGTATCCTTGGAGACCAGAGGAAGGATTAGATTACCCGGAACAAGTTACAGACACTTGTGAGCCACCATGTGGGAGCTGGGAACTGAACCTGAGTCCTCCGCAAGAACAAAAAATGCTCTAACCACTGAGCCATCCCTCCCACTGTGGTACCCTGATCTTACCCATCTTGTCTGAAGAACATAGAACAGATCTGGGAGCTGAAACTGTTCAAGTCCTAGGCACATGCTTCCTTGAGATCTTTGATAAGCATAGGCTGACGGCTTCGGCTCTGGCTCCTGAATCAGTGGAAAGTGTGGGCGGTGAGCAGCAGAGCCAATGAGACCATAAAGCCAGCACTGACCTTCGAGAGAGTTCAAGCCCCCCTATGTGATAATGACGCAGGACTGATCTCTTGATAATCACATCATAATTTACTTCCAAGCCAGAGACCATGAATTAACTTTCCTTTAGGCCCTGCTGTGTTGAGCACTAATGTGTACTCAGGAAAGAATCATTCTGTCTTTGCTGCAACCTCATAAAGCAGACCACAGAGCACCTTTCTGGCTAGTTTTGCAGATATGCAAAGTTAGACCCATGAGGGTACATGCTTGCCCATGGTCAACGAAAGGGCAGAGCTGACCAGAAGTCCAGGTCTTTGCCTCAATGCCATCTCCACAAAACCAGCCAGCAGAACACTGCCAGGCCAAGAATTCTCAGTAACCAACCAAGAAATAAGGAAAATGGACTGGTCACACCACCCTGAGCATTCCTGGTCTCTACTGGTCTTATAAGCTAAGCAGGGTTGGGCCTAGAGTCCTTAGGTAGGATCAAAGTACAGTGGTTTTGTTCTCACAAAGTTAATTCATCTGATTTTAAAATCTTTATTCAGAGGCTTGCCTTTTTAAAAATATTTTATTTGTATTCAATGTTCATTGGTGTTTTGCAAGCACGTATGTCTGTGTGAGGGTGTCAGACGCCCTGGAACTGGAGTTACAGACAGCTGTGAGCTGCTGTGTGGTTGCTGGGAACTGAACCGAGGTCCTCTAGAAGAGCAGTCAGTGCTCTTACCCACTGAACCATCTCTCCAGACCCAGTTGCTGTAGTTGGATTTTCTTTGGGCTGCCACCTCACAAATAATGACACAGAGACTTATTATTAATTATGAAAACTCCGCCTATAGCTGAGGCTTGTTCCTAACTAGCTCTTATAATTTAAATTAACCCATTTATATTAATCTATATTCTTTTTTGATTTATTTATTTATTATATATACAATGTTACACTGTATTTATGTATATACAGTATTCTGTCTGCATACATGTCTGTAGGCCAGAAGAGGGCCCCAGATCTCATTACAGCTGGTTGTGAGTCACCGTGTGGTTGCTGGGAATTGAACTCAGGACCTCTGGAAGAACAGCCAGTGCTCTTAATCTCTGAGCCATCTCTCCAGCCCCCTAATCTATATTCTATTATGTGGTGCTACCTCTCTCCCATCTTGCACCTCCTGTTTCCTCTCTGTGTCTCCTGGCATCTCCCATGTGTCTAAATTCCTCCTGCTCTTCCTTTCTCTCCCCAGAAATCCCACTATACCTCCTGCCTAGCTATTGGCTGTTCAGCTTTTTATTACACCAATCACAGCAAAATATCTTCATTGAGTGTTCAAATATCCCACAACAGCTTACCTTTCTTAATTTTATGTGAAATTAATCCCAGTACTTGGGAGGCAGAGACAGATGGATTTCTATGAGTTTGAGGCCAGCCTGATCTACATAGCAAGTTCTAGGCAAGCCAGGGCTACATAGAGAGACCCTATCCAAAATAAATAAATTAAATTACATTTTAAAAAATCACCAAGCAAGAGTTATTGTTTATCTGACATACTAAAAGTCATTAAGCCCTGATCAATCTCTCAAATATTTTGACATTTTTCTGGTATATAGCATATAAATGACTAAGAAGTCTTCCATGGAAGCTTTTTGTTTGTTTGTTTTTTCAGACAGAATTTCTCTATGTACCTTTTGAGCCTGTCCTAGAACTCTGTAGACCATGCTGGTCTCGAACTCACGGAGATCCACCTGCCTCTGCCTCCAGAGTGTTGGGATTAAAGGTGTGCGCCACCACTGCCCGGCACATGGAGCCTTTTTAAAGTAAATAAATAAAAGAAAGACTTATGGCAGGAAAAGCTTGAATTGGCTTTTCTAGGAGAAGCAGACTATTCCCAAGTAGAGAAGCTCCATCCAGATCCAACAAGCGGGTTCGACACCATCAGGTCACCGAATCATTGGGAAGGGGCAGGGCGACTGAGGAGCCTGAGGAGAAAGGGCATTCTCTGAAATTCTGAACTGACTTTCTCTGAGGGACCGTGAGCCACGCAAGGTGCAAAGTCATTTTGTTTCCTTGTTTTCTCTATGCAGCCTGATCGAATACTCTCCTCACTTAAGAGAACTCGACCTTGGAAACAATGTCTTGGAAGAAACAGCTGCAGTGGGCATCCTGGGAGCCCTGAGAGCCAGGAAGATAGGTCGGGTTTCATCCTCTTCTCCCCGGGCCCTGAACTAGTCGCAACTGCCCCATTGTTTAAATGACAAATCTGAGCTGTGCAATGAGCCGTGTGTGCGCGTGAGTGTGTGTGCGCGTGTGTGTGTGCGCGCGTGTGTGTGTGTGTGTGTGTGTGTGTGTGTGTGTGAGTGCATGTGTGCGTGCGTGCATGTGTGCTTGTGGGGGGTGTCAAAGGCTAGCCTCCATCGGGTCAACATGCCAAGAGACTTGTGCAAAGCTCTTTTACAATGTTGTGTGTAACCTGTGAGCCTCTGAGTGACGGTTTTCCTCTGTCCTTCTAGGCCAGTGTCCAGATAGTTCCTTACCCTCTGTCTCTGAAGTAGCTTACGCTTGCAGCATATTCCCAGCCTGGCTGGGGTTTTTTATTGTTGTTGTTTGTTTGTTTGTTTAATAGCTTTTTCTCTGTCACTTTTGCCTTTTCTGTCTTCTCTTTCCTTCCTTTTTTTAAAAAAGGACTTATTTATTATGTATACAGTATTCTGTCTGTACACCAGAAGAGGGCACCAGATCTCATTACAGGTGGTTGTGAGCCACCATGCGGATGCCGGGAACTGAACTCAGAACCTCTGGAAGAGCAGCCAGTGCTCTTAACCTCCGAGCCATCTCTCCAGCCCCTCTCTTTCCTTTCTTACTCACCAAGAAAGTTTCTCCTGTTCTCTGTTCTCCTCTCAGCTCAACCTAACGTGGTTTGTACAGAAATTGACTGTAGAACTGAAGTAGCAACTGTCCTGAGACACAGCTGAGCCAGCCAGGCACGGGAACCTTTCAAGTCTGAGGTCAGCCTGGGCTGCATAAGGATACCTCGGAGACACAGAAAGAGAAGAGGGAAAGAGAGAACAAGGAACGCAGTGTACTTATTAGTCATCCAAGAGGGGTTTGGCTCTAACTGGCAGGCAGCCCTGAGTGACTTGTGGTCCTGTAACCTTTAGAAAGTGAGAGAAGTGAGGTCAATTAGTGGTGACTGTCCCTGGCCTCTCCTTTTATTCTTACTGCTTTTACTGGGAGAGCAAGGAATGCCATTTGAAATGTAGCTCGATGTAAAGCATGAAGAGATATTAGTATGAAAATCAGTGTCGAGGAGAATGAGGGGTAGGCTGAGTGGGGAGAGCTCGCAGGCAGCGGCACCCCGTCTTCATCGTTTCTTTAGTAAGACTCCGAGGTTGCAGTTTTCCTTCGCTGGCAGTGTTTTAAAGAGAATTACAGGGCTGCTGTGGTCTGCTGCATTGCTCCATTTCCAACTAAAGTCATGCATGTTTAATGACCAATTAAATGATTCTAAGATTTTTTTCAATTACCCTTTTCTTTTAGAGAAACAGAACACCCACTTCGTGTTCCATTAGAGTTGAGATGAAATTCGGCAGGATTATTCGGTTAAGCCTCACTCTAAGAGCGCTAAGTAGAAGGCAGGTCACGACTGCGCTCTGATTTTCCTGGTACCACTTCCCCCTCTACCTGGCAGAAACCACTACTGAGCTGCAGGCAGTCTCCCCCCATTACTGCAGGGAGCAAAATGAGAGACAGCCGCCTCCCAGCCCCCCCAACCCCCCACCCCCCACCCCCTCAACCACCCCCCCCCCCACTCCCCCACCCCCCCACCCCCCCAGCCCCCAGCGACTTGATGGGAAGTGATTTCCACTGAGTAGCTATCTGGAATGGAAAATGTCTTGCTTGCTTAGCAAATGGCTCGATTTACATAAATGAGAGGCTAATTATGGAGTGCCCACCTGAAATGCAAGTAGTCATTTAAACAGCATTAGAAGGCAATCTACGGCTCAAGAAATCAGTGATTTTGAAATTTCATCTAAGTGTGCATCATGAACAGCCTGAATGCATTTATTCCATGAGCTGAACTCCTCATGCGCTGTTTCTGACAAAGCACTTTAATTAGGTTGTTAGTTTGAACACAGTGAAGAGTCCTCAAAAAAGGGTTAGCCGCTTGGATTTCACAGAGCGAATCACTAGTCATTTAGCCCTGAAGGCACTGCTTTAAAACCTAAAACAACACTGATTATAAAACTAACTAACGTTCTTTCTGTTAGTGTCTTCCGTGTTCGTGTCGTTTGCAAACCAACAAGGGAATTTCTCTAATTCTCCTTTGATGAAATCACACTAACTTTCTTATCTGCTAAAGAAGAGGGAGCTTGGTTCCTTTTGCCTTTATCTCTCCCCCATCTTCTTCTCTTCCTCTGATTCTGATTTTTTTGAGGCAGGGTCTCTGTAGCCCGGGGTGACCTTGAGCTGGCTATGTGACTGGGACTGGTCCCTCAGCCTTGGAGTCCTAGGATCATAGAGTTCCACCATGCTCTGTCAGGGAGTTCTGCATAAGCCAACCGTAATGACACATCTCCTGCCAGGCTCTTAGGCCTGAGAGCACCCTACACAGTGTGAGCCATTCTGCTCATTTATGCTTCTGCTCTCTTTGCTCAGGTAAACTACCACCCTTAAAAATTACAGTCACTCCTCGGATCTCTTCAGACACCTTCACATCTATTTGGAAACATAGCAAGAAATCTAATAGGACCAGTAAAAGGAAGAAAAAGGTAAATTCTTTACTGTCTGGGTAGTTGAGTAGCAGCCACCAGGGGGCGCTAGACGAGGTGTGACCCTCAGTGGACATAAGCGGAGCCTTCGACGCCAGAGTTCAGGGTTTTCTAGGTCACCCTCCCCTAAACTATCATCAGATGGACGGTGGTTACACCAAGAGACGAGCAGTAAGACAGCAACATCATCTCTCAGAGATTAGTGGAAACTACCTCCAGCTTCACCCCCTCTTTCCTGCCAAACGCGTGTGTTCCTGCAGGCCTGTTGCAGATCTGCAAGGAGTTTGTCTCCACTCTTAGACACCTGTGCTGTCTCTTGGACAATAATGATTTATATACGTTCATTCTAACCACTGTATAAAATTGAATTTTTTTTAATAGGGCAAATATTTAATGGCACGGTGGGAGGGGGAAATGTTATGAAACGAGCTGGTTTTAAGGAATAGGTAGAAGACGATTTTTGAAACGAGAATTTTAAAATATACACATGTATTTAAAAACCTAGATTGCTGTATACCAAATTATCAGCACCGTTACTACAACCCAGTGAGTAAATACTCTCCCCTGTGTGAGTTTGTATCATGTGTTTTAATTTTTTGTTTACTTGTTTGTTTGTATATTTATTGAGACTGAGTTTTACTCTGTACATCAGACTGGTCTTAAACTTGTGGCAATCTTTCTGTCTCTTCCTGAATGCTGGGAACACAGGCATGAGCTACCATGCCTGTTTGTGGCTGTCATTGTTTCGTTTGTTTTCTTCTTTATGTATTTTTAAAACACGGCTATTTCTGACCCAAACACGTTGTACATGGTGGCCCATAATGTCATCCTAATTAACACTTGAGAGGCTAAGGCAAGAAAATTGTTACAGGTTCAAGACCAGCTCGGGCTATTTGGTGAGGTCCTCACCAGTCTGGTATACAGTATTAGACTGTCTCAAAAACTAAAACAAAAAAAAAAAATCAACAGTCAAAAGAGAAAGGGAGGGAGACTTGGAGAGACACTAGTTACAAGGAATGGAAATCCAATAAGCCAAACCACAGACCAGTGGTCAGGTCAGAAGCGAAAAACATTGTGGGGAGGTGTCAGCGGTCAAGTTTGGGACAGAATGCCACTGGCATGACTTTCTCTGCATTTGGAGTCCTCTAAGTGATCACATCTATTGGGCCTAAACAAACAGCTGGCACAATAGTAAAGCGTTGCTCACAACGCTGGCTTTGGGTCGCTGCAGTGAATAACTGTTTGGCTGCTGTCTCCCATACGCAGCTCGCTGGAAACTGCGATCTTGCAGTTTATGGCTATGGTGTTTGACCTCAGGTCATTTTAAAGTCATTACATATGTATTTTGTCTTGTGGGTCTGGATCTAGGAAAGGCCATTATTCCTCATAAAGAAATTTAGTTTGATATATGTTACATAATGTCTCGACAGGTTTTTAGGTCTCTGATAATAAGTACTCTACAGTAGTAAAAGGGTCTCCCCAATCAAAAACACCCAGTGATTAATTAAAATGAATATCACCCCCTTCTCTCTCTTTTCTTTCTTTCTCTCTCTCTTTCTTCCTTCCTTCCTCCTCCTCTCTATTTTGTTTTTCCCCAGCTCACAGAAATCCACTTGCCCCCACTCCCTTGTACTGGGATAAAGGTGTGGGGTTCACTCTGACTCTCTCTGTTTTAATTGATTTTTGCTGAGTTACTAGAGAGCAGAATATTCCCCCATATATACCAGGAGACTCAGCAGTCTCAGTTCTGACCATCCATCCACAGGGTAAGGCTGCCAGCACCGTTATTCAAGTGACAAAAGCAGACAGCCCTTATCCATGTAGGAAACCCTGGATTCAGCCTCACAAAGCCAAATAACTGAGAAAGGCTCATTGGTTTTGTAAGTGTTTTGTTTTTTGTCTTTTGGATTTGTTGTTATTGGTTTGTTGGTTGGGGATTTGTTTTGTTTGTTTGTTTGTTTGGTTAGTTGGTTGGTTGGTTGGTTTGTGTTTGTTTGGTTTTTGGTTTTTCTGAGACAGAGCCCTGGCTGTCCCAGGACTCACACTGTAGAGAAGACTGGCCTTGAACTCACAGAGATCCACCTGCCTCTACCTGTGCTGGGATTAAAGGCGTGCGCCACCACATATGGCTCATTGTTTTAGAACCAGAGATGGCGCCATTGTTATATGGCTTGTTGTGCAAATGTCAGAGCCTGAGTTTAATCTCCAGCATCCATGTAGAAAGCCGACTGTGATGTCACTTCAAATCCCAGAGCTAGGGTAGAGACAGCAGCTCCCTGAGCTCCATGCCCACCCAGCTTAGCCCAGTTTGCAAGCCTCAGATCCCAGTGAGGTACAGCGTCTTAAAAAAAAAAATGGGGTTGGATATGAGAGGACAGAAGAGAGAATAGGAGGAGAGATATCCAACACTAAAGACCGTTTGGAAAAGTCATAGAAAAACCTACTAGAAGTTTCCTAAAATATGCACATGCACATGTATAAAGAATTTAAATGGAGTTATCCTATAATGGGCCAACAATGCCCCTACTAGACAACACAAGTCAACAAATAAAAAGCCTGTGCCAGAAGTGGGTTACTTCTTTTGGAGTTGTTGGTCAGTGAAGTCCCATAGACCCTCAGAATTGCAGACTTTCGACAATGCTGTTGGCTGCCCTCTAGAACATGATCGTAAGGCCCTATTGCTGAAGTCACCACCTATTTGAGTCATTAGAACATGGTGAAATCAAGCTGGTACTGGTTGGAGACTTCGTTCCCGCTGGCTCGTTTTCAATGTGCTAGAAGGTGCTATGCCCCCTATTGGAAGACAAAGGTCATAGTCATCTCTCTCTCTCTCAACTATGAACCTTACCGGTGCAATGACGCCAAACATATCCACTGGTGCAATTGCGACACAAATGTCATGGGAGTAACTAACCACTTTCTGATGGATTTAAGGCCCATTCCACAAGATGCAACCCATGCCTGGCACCATTACTGGGGCCAAGAACCTGTGACTAGGTGGGTCATAGGCCCTTGGGTGGAATCTACTACTATGACTATGATAAGTAAATGCAGTATGAAGTTAACTACCAGTAACTTGCTGTACTCGAGATGAGCGCATCTCTCAGCCCTCATCAGCAAAGCTTTTTAACGCAGTCAGTGGTGATTGACGGAGACAAGGAATGGCAGGGAATGAGAGAGACTGAGGGATGCTCAGGCCTGAAGGGGGCATCTGCATCTCTTCCCAAGGCTCAGGGATCACTGCGGGGGATGGGCAGAAAGGTGGTAAGAAGCACGGGCAGTGGACAGCTACAAGGGACACAGCAGGGAAGCTGCACACGTGAACTCAGAACAGTTGTGACGGCATCGCCCAACACTGAGCGAGCTCAAGCCAGATAATCCCAGCATGGAGAAAGGAGGTAGGAAAGGAGTTCTAGTTGAAGAGCTATGGGCAACTGATGGCTGCCAGGAGAGGGAAGTCAGTCTTAATGAGTGTGGTCCCAGCCGGGTGGTGGCGGCACACGCCTTTAATCCCAGCACTCGGGAGGGAGGCAGAGGCAGGCGGTTCTCTATGAATTCGAGGCCAGTGGCTGGCTGGTCTACAGAGCGAGTTCCAGGACAGGCTCCAAAAGCTACAGAAAAATCCTGTTTCAAAAATAAAGAAAGGAAGGGAGAGAGGGAGGGAGGGAGCAAGAAAGACTGTGGCCCCTTGGGGACTGGAGAGATGACTCAGTGGTTAAGAGCAATGTCAGAGGACCTGAGTTTGATTCTAAGCACCCACATGCGAGCTCACAATTGTCTGCAGTTCCAGGGGGTCTGACACCCTCACACAGACATGCAGGCAAAACACCAATGTATATAAATATAAATAAAGAAAGAAAAAAAGGAGTGGTAGGTGGCCCATGCGCCAATGGATGGCCCACATCCATAGCATTTAGACAGCAGAAATCGGATTTGATAAGTGGATAGGGAAGGAGAATGGATCTGAAAGGAACTGGGGAACAGAATGAATGTGACCAAAATGTATTGATGAAATTCTCCAAGAACTTAAAAAAAAAAAAAGGTAGATAGCTCCTAGGGAATTACAACTGAGGTTGGCTCCCAGCCTTCATACATGTGCACATACCTGAATATGTACACACAGAGATAAATAAATGAATAAAACCAGACATATACAAAAGTGCTACCTTGATCATGTCTCAAAGGTCTTTGCCCTTTTATGATACAGTGTTTTCCGTGGGGTAGGAGGAGCTGTTGGCTACTACTGAAGTCTAAGGCATAAACCCCAAAAGCAAACCAAGGCATTTTTCTACATTCTGCTGCCTGTCCAGTATACTGTCACTTTTAGTAGCAAGTTAGCACAGCAGTCTATACCATAAAAGTCTCCACATATCTGAAAGGAAAACTACAGCAAGAATTGTATTATCTGGGTGTTATACAGGGGTTGGTGCACACCTGGTATTAAAGCCTTTGGGAGATGGAAGCAGAGGAACCAGGAATTCAAAGCCAGTCGCAGCTAACATAGCGAGTTTGAGGTTAGCCTGGCTACATGAGACCCTGGCAAGGTGGAAGAAAGAAAGCATGCCTCCAAGAAGAGTTGCTGTCTCTTTTGTTTTTACATTTATTTTAATTAATTAATTAATTTTAAGACAGGGTCTCACTATATAGCCCTAGCTGACCTGGAATTCACTGTGTAGAGCAGGCTGGCCTCAAGCTCACAGAGATTGCCTGCCTTTACATCCCAAATTCTAGAGTTAAAGGTGGGGTCCACCATATCCAGCCTTTATTAGTTTCTTAACTCATGGTTTCTTGTTCATTATTTCACAGGTAAAAAACTGAATACATGACCATCAAAATCCTAGAAAAATTCTTCAAAGACCTTGGAAGAACAGTACTCAACTTCATATGGAAAAGTAAAAAAACCCAGAATAGCCAAAAGAATCCTGACAATAAAAGAACTTCTCGAGGCATCACAATCCCTGACTTCAAACTCTACTACCAAGCTATAGTACTGAAAACAGCCTGGTATTGGCATAAGAACAGACAGGAGAACCAATAGAACCGAATAGAAGACCCAGATATCAATCCATACATCTTCGAACACCTGATCTATGATAAAGAAGCAAAAAATATCAAATGGAAAAAAGAAAGTATATTTAACAAATAGTGCTGGCATAACTGGATATCAATATTCTGTAGAAAAATGAAAATAGACCCATATCTATCTCCATGTACAAAACTCAAGTCCAAATGGATCAAAGACCTCAACATAAAGCCAGCCACACTGAACCTTATAGAAGAGAAAGTGGGAAGCACACTTGAATGCATTGGCACAGGGAACCACTTCTTAAATATAACCCCAGCAGCACAGACACTGAGAGAAACAATTAATAAATTTGAAACCATGTGGGAGACACAACAATGGACTGATTTTATATGGGTGTTTCCAGAGAGGTTTAGCTGAGACAGAAAGACCCACTAGATATAAATGCTTCCGTCCCATGGGCTGGGATCCCACATTGAATGAAAGGGAGGAGGAGAGCGAGTCAGCAGCATCCATCTCTACTCCCAGCTGGGGCCGCGGTGACCAGCTGACCTCGCGTCCCCACCTTTCCTTCCTTTCGTTGCTTTTGTTAGTCATTTTGTCAGAATGACAAGAAAAATAGCTGGTACAGCTTCCTAAAGGATGCCACCCTAGGAATTAGGATCTTTTCCAAATGAGGAAACTTTGAATCACTGGACTCCCCCCACCCCCAAGACGCCGGACAGTTCCAAAGAAATGGAAGCCCTATGACTGATGGTTTATGCATGATAATTAGGGTTACATGAATTTTCTGTGTTGCCACAGTATGGTACAACCAAGAAGATTATTAGGCACCAGATTTATGTATGAAAAGCATGCTGGTTTTCAATTGCGCCAGTCAGTCAAACTTACCACAACTCAATTTGCCCTTCTGTAAAATACAGATAAGAAATAACTGGGCCTGATGACTGTCAGACTCCTGAGACAGTGTAAAGAGATGAAAGGAGGAAAGAGACGCGCGCCTGACTTTCAACAGATGAGACTGTGTTCCTTAGCACCCACCGTGAGGAGCAGCCTCTCTCCTGGGGAGTCTACCAGGGACCCTTTATCGGAGCGCTGCAGTCTCCTGGGGGCTACATGCAGGTACAATCTTCTTTAACAATTGTCCACCTTAGGCGACACAGATCTCAGGAGACAGGAGTTCTCTGCAGGCATTGCTTTCTGGGCTGATGATAATGGCTGAGCAAGACTGTCCCTAAGCTCCCAGGAACCCTGTTTTTACAGCCTCGCCTTGCTACCAGGTGCCTCTCCTAGAGGCTGAGGCTGAAGGCCTGGGTTACTCATTGAGATGCTCCCCAAATAGACAGTAGAAGAGCCTGGACTAGAGCTCAGATGTAGAATACTTGCCTAGTGCACTAAGGCCCTGGGTTCAATCCCTGGAGAAAAAAAAGAAAGGAACTATGATCCAGCAACTTCACGTCTGCATACAGAGCCCAAAGAATTGGGAACAGGCGTGGAAGAATGCTGGATGACTGTCTTCACGGAAGCGACACAGATGGCAGAGGCAGGTCAAACTGCTGCCAGACGGATAAACCAAATTCTTTTTTGTTTGGGAATGGACTTCAAATTTTTAAATCTATTTTTGCCAATTTAATTCACATATATATAACACGTCTTGGTAATAAACACCCAAGTCTCCTTCCCATCCCCCTAGGCCATCCCAGCGCATGCCCCTCCCACCTTCATCTCCTCTTCTTTTTCTTCTTCATAGTTCATTGAATTCAATTAGCGCTGCCTGCGTGACCATGGGCAGCCCAGCAGCGGCTGCACTCCCAAAGAGAAATCTCTCCCCTTCAGTTACCAATAGCTCCTCAGCCAGGGATAGAGCCACGTTAGCCCCTCCCCCAAGCCCTACTGACCTGCTTGATCTTGTGCCAGCTTGTGCAGCTAACCATTGAGGTTATGAGCTCGTGAGGACAATGGCCGTGCCGTGTCCTGCTGACAACATTTCACATCTTCACTTTCTCCTGTACCCCAGATCTTGCATTGTTTCCACCCTGTCTCCCAAGATGCTCCCTGAGTCTTGTGTGGTAAACCAAATGTTGTTTTAGACCTACAGTGGCGTATTATTGACCTTTTAAAAGACCGATGGAGGATACAGCATTGAAGACATTGTATCAATTTAGACCAAGCAGTCACATAAGACAAATACTACATAATTCCATTTATCTGAGCTACTTAGAGCGGCCACTGAGACAGAGAGCAGCATGGAGCTTGTCAGGTGGTCAATGGCGGCAGACTCCCAGCACTGCCCGATTAGTGTGTCCTGGAGACCGGCTGCACAGTGCGAACCACTGTCACTCTTTGTTGTGTTGTTGTTGTTGTTTTGTAGCCCTGGCTGTCCTGGAACTAGCTTGTTTGTGTCCTCAGATGTTCTCTGTGTGTGTGTGTGTGTGTGTGTGTGTGTGTGTGTGTACTCTTCCTCTGGTTCTGGGATCAATCTAGGGCCTTGGGCATGCTACACAAGCACTCTACCACTGAGCCACACCACCTTGAAGAATTTCCCTGCTCCACCATGTTGATAATAGTCAACTGGCTCAATAATTAAATTAAATTAGATTACGTGTGGGTGTTTTGTCTTGTTTTCTTATTATGGTAAAGAGTCCTCAGTGCATCAGCTACCAGGACTGTATTGACCTATAGACACTTGAGAAGCAATGAATAAAGAGCTTTTTGGTTTTGTCTCACAATGCGTCTTATCTGTGCAAAGCAGTGTCTTCCCAAAGATCTCAATGTGTGAGGGCTAAGTTGTGTTTTAATTTAAATTATTGTGCTTAAGAGATCTATAAAACTAACCTGTAAGCTCCACTTGCCCAAGGACAGATATACTGTGGAACAATCTTTGTACACTGTAAATTTCCATTGCTCTCATTGTTAATTAAAGGCTGATTGGCCAATAGCTAGGCAGGATTTGGGGAGCAGAGGGAATGCTGGGAAGAAGAAGGGAAGAGTCTTGGAGTTGTGAGCAGACTCAGAGAGAAGCAAGATGAACGTGCCATATTGAAGGAAGGTATTGTCACATGGCAGAATGTAGAATAAAAATGAGTTACATTATTAGAGCTAGTTACTAATAAGCCTGAGCTATGGGCTGAGCATTTATAACTAATATTAGGTTTCCATATTGGTTATCTGGGAACTGTGTGTAGAAAAGATAAGTTTGTCTACACAGATAACTTGGATGCTGGGGCCTGTTGTTCACTTAAGTAAGCAAAATTAGTCGCCCCAACTGCACAGAAAGTCCTTGATCACTTGTAGGTGGGATATGTGTGTGCAGGAAATACATCAGGATGTATGCTTGTCCCCAGTTGGACAAAAGCAGGAAGTACATAACCTTGTGGGTTTTGCTTTAAGAGCACCTGACTAACCTAATTCAGTGCCATTCTCTGGGAATCCCAGGTATGGACCTGGCCAGTGTTCATCGTCCTGGCCAGTATTAAATAAAGCTTGATTTAATTAGACAATCATAGAATTGGTCTTCCTGCCATAATTTTCAGATTTAACAAATGGTCATAAATCATTTCCCTAGGATTTTAAAAGCTAGGGACTATTGACCCCAATTGCCAGAAAAAAAAAAAAAACCCACAAACATTGTCACAAAATTCTGGTGTCTCACGTCTATTCTGTTTTCAGGATGAATGAGAAAATGACATAAAAGGAAGAGGATAGTTAGGTTTTGGTTTTTTTTTTTTTTTTTTGTCAACTTGACACAAGGGTCACATCAATTGAGAAAACGCCCTCACTGATCTGTAGGCAAGTCTGTGGGGCAATTTCTTGATCTGGGAAAGGCCAGACCACTATGGGTGGTGCTGCCCCTGGACAGGTGGTGTTAATTTGTATAAAATCAGGCTAAACAAACCTTGAGTGCAAGCCAGTAAGCAGCATTCCTTCATGGTCTCTGCTTCAATTCCTGCCTCCAGATTCCTTCCCATCCTGAGTTTTTTCCTGCGTTGACTTCCCTCAGTGATGGACTGTGATCTAGATGTATATGTATATAAACCAAACAAACCGTTTCCTCCCAAAGTTGTTTTTCATCATGGTCTTCCTCACAGAAAAAGAAAGAGAACTAACACACACACACACACACACACACACACACACACACACACACCCTTTCTTTTAAACTTCCCTTTCCCTTATTCGGCTAGTATACAAACTCAAAATTCAGGCTGCCGTTTTTCTTCTGTGAATTCTACTTCTACAAATCAAAACCTGCCTTTTCTCTTGCTAACCTTGTCTGTGTAAGTCACAAGATGCCAAGAACTGAATTTAAGAGGGCCTGGAGAGTTTTTCCTCGTTAACCGCAGGAAAGATTGTTTTCATAAAGATGAATGGCATAAAGGAATGGTAAAATAAGGACCAAAGAATAAACAGTGGAAACATTTGCTTGTGATGGTAATAGGGTTTTCCTGAAGGGCTTAAACATGTTTGAGCTAAAGGAAAGTCTCTGAAGCAAAACTCAGCATCTCTTCAACTTTCTGAACAAAGGAATAGAGACTCTCCCACTGAGGAGCATAAGTGAGCATGGTAAAGCCATCTAGTCCTGACTCTGTATTTGCTGAGACAGTTCTCAGCCCTCTACCCAACCAACCCCACTACTACAGAGGTTACATCTACCCTGCCGACATATTTGAGATTTCCATGGCCTCACCAGGAGCCAGATGTTTTAACCAAAATAACTGATGCAAACTAAGATAACTGGAGAAGAGCTAAGTCAAAAATAATTTTCATGTTATGTCTGAAATAATCATGATGTTGTGCCAGGAAGGTCACCTTGTCATGTGAGTTATGGTCTTTGAGTTTTTGCATT